GCCTCAACCTTCTCCATTAACACCCCAAATTGCCCTTCCAAGGTCTCCACTCGATCAGATAACGTCATTTTCCCCAGAAATCGGATGCTCTGATACCAAAAATTGATAAGAACCTGAATTGATGGAACAAACTCGTTTACCTAAGAAGAGTAAACTCAATGGAAATGAGTGAATTTTATTGAATTGAACGTAAACTATGACTCCAACAAACCAGAGCATTCGAGAGGCTCTGTACTCTCCTACTAGACTCCTGATTTTTCTCTGCTGTTACCCGCCCCTCCCCTTTACATTTATTGACAATTTCCCTAACTGACTCACTACCCTCCCCCCTAACAAAATAACAGAATAACAACTGCATGCTTAATTAATTTGAATACATAGCTGACGTGGCTGCCTCCTTACTCCTTGCGTATTTAAAAATCACTGGGGGTCTATTAATACCCCCCCTTCAAAATCCACCTTGTCCTTAAGGTGGAAGTTCGGAAATTGCTGGCGGATGTTTTCAACTGACTCCCAGGTGGCTTCGTAGTCTGAAGAGTTCTTCCACTTGATCAGAACTTCAGGACCCAAGGCTGAACTTGCTGAATTAGAACAGAATTGTAACACTCTCTCCAGTTCCACTCTGCTCGAGGTCTCCACAGCAAGGTGTTCTGGTAATTCTGAAACAGTTTGAGTATTCCCGACAGCCTTCCTGAGCTGCGACACATGAAAAACCGGGTGGATAGCTGACTCCGGTGGAAGTTTCAATTTGTAAGCAACCTGCCCCACTTTGGCCTGAACTTCAAAAGGCCCATAATATTTGGGAGAAAGTTTTGCTGATGATCTCTGAGCCACAGACTTCTGACGGTAAGGATGCAATTTCAAATATACCAAGTCCCCAACTTTCAACTAGAGATCACGGCGATGCCCATCGCTTCTTGCTTCATTCGTTGTTGGGCGCGCAAAAGTTGCATCTTGAGGTGCTGGAGGACTTCATCCCTGCTGACCAAGGATTGTTCTATTGAGGAAACTACAGTCATTCCCTTCTGAAAAGGCATAACCGGCGGAGGATCAAAACCTTACACAATCTGAAGGGGAGTCTGCTTCAAGGCGGTGTGAAAAGAAGTATTATACCAAAATTCTGCCCACGGTAACCACTGCCCCCATGATCGTGGCTTACTTGAAGTAAAACAACGCAAGTATGTCTCCAAACACCGATTGACGACCTCCGTTTGGCCGTCCGTTTGTGGATGGTAGGCTGTACTCCTTTTAAGGACTGTCCCCTGAGCCCGAAAAAGCTCCTTCCAGAACTTACTCGTAAAAACTCGATCCCTGTCTGACACAATAGACTGTGGAATTCCATGCAACTTAACAACTTCTCGTATGAAGACTTTAGCCACTAAGGGTGCCGTGAAGGGATGCTTTAACCCAATGAAATGCCCATATTTGCTGAGTCGATCGACCACTACTAAAAGAGTGTCCCACCCTTCAGACTTGAGCAGCCCTTCGATGAAGTCTAATGAAATGTTAGCCCACACTGGCTTTGGAATCAGCAACGGCTGCAAGAGTCCTTGAGGAGATAAGGACATGTACTTATTCTGCTGGCACACATTGCAGCGGCTCACAAATTCCCTGATATCCCTTAATCCCCTTCCAATATATTTCTCCAGCTATCCTTTTGTAAGTTTTGAGATATCTCGAATGACCACCTACTCCCGAGTCGTGATATTCCTGTAGGACCTTCTCAATGAATGGGGATGATTTGGGTATCACTAATCTGCCCTTGTAACACAAAGTCCCATCCACCACCGAATAGCCAGGTTGGTCCCCTCCACCTGATTGTATGTGGGCAATGATTTTGCTTACTCTTCGTCCCTTGCTACTGCTGCTTTTACTTCATCCACTTTTAACACCCGGGGCCTTGATATTTCCAGAAAACTCACTATGGGTCCCATTCTTGAGAGGGCATTTGCAGCTCTATTTTCCATACCAGGCCGATATTGAATTTCAAGTCAAAACCAAGGAGTTTAGTCAACCATTTCTGATGTTCTTTACAAACTAAGCGCTGCTCCAGAAGAAATTTCAGACTTCGCTGATCAGCCCTTACTATAAAATGTCTGCCCAGTAAATAGTGCTGCCACTTCTGAATGGAAAACACTATGGCCATCAATTCCTGCTCATAAACTGATTTGTGTCTAGCACTCAACGGAAGCACCTGGCTGAAGTAGGCAATGGGATGCTGTCCTTGCATTAAAACAGCCCCCAATCCGTGGCCCGAGGCATTGGTTTCCACCACAAATATTTGGGAAAAGTCGGGTAAGGCAAGAACGGGCACTTCAGTCATTGCTGTCTTCAGTTTGTAGAAGGCATCCTCTGCCACCTTACTCCAGTTAAACCCGTCCTTTTTCAACAATTCGGTAAGTGGCCAAGCAATCTCAGCATATCCTTTTACAAAACGTCGATAGTAGTCGGTAAGCCCCAAAAATCCACGTAGCTCCCGAAGGTTCCGAGGCGATGGCCAACTGCACATTGCCTCAATCTTAGACTTATCCGTTGATACTCCTTGTCCCGATCTTAGATGGCCCAAGTATTCCAATTGAGGCTGTCCAAAAGTGCACTTCTTCTCATTTACGTATAGCTTGTGTTGCTGTAAGCATTCCAAAACAATGTCCAGATGTTCCTGATGCTCCCTCAACGAAGCACTGTACACTAAGATGTCATCAAAAAAGACCAGAACAAACTTTCTGAGATAGGATCGTAATACATCATTCATCAAACTTTGGAATGTTGCTGGCGCATTTGTCAGCCCAAATGGCATGACATGGAATTCGTAGTGGCCTTCGTGAGTACGGAAAGCCGTCTTTGACACATCATCCGGTTTCATTCTTATCTGATGGTACCCCGATTTAAGATCCAGCTTTGAAAAAATGGTTGCCCCATGAAGTTCGTCCAGCAATTCATCGATCACTGGTATAGGAAATCTATCTGGGACGGTGACCTTGTTCAACGCTCGGAGGCGACTGCCGCAGCGAGCGACTGCAAATAACATTATTCAATACTTTATCATCTTTTACACATATAGTCATCTCTCTTTCCAGGGGCATTGCAAGGCACTGTAATTATCTTGGGGATTTGTTGGTGGCCCTGTCATTTAGTTTACCTTGTGGATTAAGGTAATTTTCTGTGCCGTGCTTCTTGTACTATAATAATGGCACCAACACCAGTAATTTTTTCTTATGATATATATGCAGCTCCCCAGTTCCATATTTTTATCCTATATACCTTCTAATTCTAACGCTCGGTAGTCTACACAAAACGCCAGCTCCCATCTTTCTTTTTTACCAACAAAATTGGGCTAGAGAATGGGTGCAACTGGGTTGGATTATCCCAGCCTCCAGCATGTTTTGCACCAATTTCTCGATTTCATTCTTCTGGAAATTCGGATAACGATATGGCCTAACGTTAACCGGGACTGCCCCCACCTGGAGCACAATCCCATGGTCATGGGATCGTGATGGGGGAAGCTCATTAGGCCACTCGAAGACTTGGTGATGCCGCCGCAATACTTCAATAAGCTCGTCAGGGCCCTTGCTCACTTTCTCTTCGTTTCCCAAACTCATACTTCCCAGCTCCAACAATACCCCTTGGTCACCCTCCTTGAAGTTTCTGAATATCGACTTAATAGAGACCTGGGTCTTCTGCAGGTTAGTTTCTCCCTGCAGTAACACCTCACGCCCATCGACCTTAAATTTCATCGTCAACCTCCCCCAATCCACCTGCATTTGTCTCAATGTTCCCAACCACTTCATTCCCAGAATTAAATCAGTACACCCTAATGTCAGAGGTAAGAAATCATCCACAACCACAAGGCTTGGCAGGGAGACGACTACTCCTTTACAAATGCCCACCCCCTTCACCGACGACCCCGTTCCCACAGTGACCCCATATCCGTTGGTGCCCTTGACTTTTCTGATTTTTCTCGTGTTTAGCAATTTTTCATATGAAAGTCCGTCGTTACAACTACAAATTTCTAGTGGCTAATGCTTTGTGCCATACAAGTGCAAATGGGTCGTTCTGGCTTTGAAATGGCAGCAAAAGAATGTCATTATGCTAAATAAGGTCTAGAATTTAATTTAAGTCAAAGTTAACAATTAATTTTAATCACATATTTTATGGAATTCACGATTTTTCAATCATAAATGTCATTAATTTTTATTAAAATTTACTTAAAAAAAAATTATTTTAATTCTTATCAAACAGGGATTATATATTATACTTTACTATACTCACGGTAAAAGTGACAATTGAAAACGATCAGGGATGACTTTTGATCCCTGCATTGTTATGGGTGTGAATGAAGCTTCCATGTACTATAAGTCCTCTTTTCAGATTAATTGGACTGGTGCCTACAGCATCTCTTCGTTTGTCATCATCTACTCTCTCACTTTAATTTTACGTCAAGAGAAATGTAACATACGTCCCTGTTTGATTCCATTCTTTTCTTATTAAAATAAAAAATATGATCGTTATTTATCACATCAAGTCACCAAATTTGAATTTCTATCTCTTGTGTGGACCCGTAACAATTATATTTTTCATTCTCATTCTTTCAAAAATGAGAAACAAGCAGGGGCATAGCCTATTTCTATAAAAATGCCAACACAACTAACTCCCCGAGCTATTTTATCAAATAATTATCGGTAAATTTTTATCTTCTTGTATCAGCTCGTCTTATATTTGATTAGCATAGAATTCGTAAATGAACCCATAAAACAAATGTCCAGTAACATAGCAAATCAGCTCTAGATGACGATTTAGTATTTACAGTTATAACATTGACATGTATCAAAAATAAATAAAAATTCTTTAATTGTTATTTTTTTAGATGTTTATTATTAAGTCCTTGTTTGATTTAGTTAAAAAAATAAAATTTTAATAGATTTTGATAAAATTAATAAAAGTTGTGAGTGAAAATAAATTTAAAGGAAAATGAATTTTATGAAATGGAGCAAACATGGCTTAAATACAATATCATGATTACACCGCACCGTTAAACGGAGACATTCTTACTTTCCGACCATAACAGAAGGAAAAAAAAAATCCTAGAGCTCCACCTATGGCAGTTTTAGGGTTTTGAGTTAAATTTTTTGCAATTTGGTATGTGATGGAAATGCCAGGTAGACGATCAAATTATACTTTGTTAAGTCAAATTCCTGACGACCCATTATTACCGCAGCCTCCGCAGAGTCGGATCGGAGCGGCGTTGTTCCCACCGTCGATCGGCCTGCAGAGACAGTCGAGTGGGAGTAGTTTTGGTGATAGCTCGATCTCGGGAGACTACTACGTTCCTTCAATTCCTTCAAACCCCGAGATGGCGTCTTACGGCCATTTGAGCAATGGAGGAAGCGGCGGATTAAGGGGTAAGTCAGGTGGCAGTCGAGGAGGCTCGTGGTCTTCCAAGAGCTGGGCGCAGCAGACGGAGGAGAGTTACCAATTGCAGTTGGCTTTGACTCTTCGCTTGTCCTCGACAGCTGCCTCCGCTGATGACCCCAATTTCTTGGATCCTGTGCCTGATGAGTTGGCATCGCGAGCTTCTTCTTCACTTGCCTCTGCCGAGACCATGTCCCATCGGTTCTGGGTAACACTTTCTGTTACTTTTGAAATAGAATTGCAGACTCTGAGGAGGCTTTCTTTATGTATTTTTTTGCATTTAGTTGTGTATTATGATGTATGGGCATAGTGAAATATGATTGTATGCTAAATGAGAGCTTTCACCCCTAACCTGAAACCGCGAGGTTTGGGGAATGGAGAAAATGTTTTGGACCTAAATTGGTGGAATATGTTGGAATTAATAAAACAATATATGGAAAATTAGTGGTTTGTGGAGGTAGAATGGTGGACTTGTTGAGGAGGAAGCAAATGTGGGCTTTTAGGGATGACCGATCAGCATGCTACTTAAGCTTCGTGAAAATGAATGTTCCGTGAAATGTATCTCAATATCAGTCAGACCTATTATATGCCCCGTGAATTGGCAATACTTTTGAGGATCTCATTTTTGGAAAAAAGGTATATTACACGAATCGTACTAGTATTAAAGAATCTTTGTGGCAATCTATTAATGGTAAGGTATAGAATTTAATTATCACTATGGAAAACCTCTACTTATAATACCGATGAGTATCAAATTTATTGACCATTAACCAGGGCCGGTCATGGGCACAGGCAAATGAGGCCCGTGCCTCAGGCCCAAAAGCACAAAGGGCCTATTTTGGTTCAAAGTTTTTTATTTTTTTATTTTTTTTTATTTTTAAGAAGGAAAAGGAAAAGGAAAATAGTTTTTTCATTAATTGTGAGATGATTGAGATATTTGTTTGTTGTTTTAATATTAAGTTTTAAGTTAACAATATGTTGCATAATATATCGTTAAATTTTGTATTTACGTTGATTTTGGGGGTCTAATTTTTTAACTTCGCCTCGGGCCCCGACAATCACAAGACCGGCCCTGCCATTAACTATACAAGGGTCAAGTGTACACAGGGCATGCATTTAAACTAGCGTAATTGCAATTCCAGTATTTTACTCATCTATATTTAGTGAAATGTTCTACGGGAATACGTGCCTTATACCTTTGGAACTTTAGATATTTACCTTCGTGATTGGAAAAGAAAAAAGTAATATTAATTGGTCTCAAGGGATTATCCTATGCACCGCGCAATTTGTGCCTTAATCTTCCGAAGCTGCTTTGCATCCTTTTGGCTTTTTTGTAATGTAGAATACGAGAATGAGGTAAAGATTGCATTAGATTTTGGTTTGATTTATCTGGCTAGTATGATTTGAATCTTTTCATTCTTTTCTATATTGCATCAGGTAAATGGTTGTTTATCATATTTTGACAAAGTTCCCGATGGGTTTTACTCAATTCATGGAATGGATCCTTATGTTTGGACTGTCTGCTCCGATCTTCAAGAAAGTGGCCATATTCCATCACTTGAATCATTAAAGATTATGGATCCTTCCGCTTTATCATCTATTGAAGTCATTTCAGTGGATAGACGTAGTGATTCCAGCTTGAAAGAGCTGCAAAATTGGACCCATAATGTGTCCTCTAGTTGCATGAACACAAAGGAAATTGTTGTCCAGCTTGCAAATCTAGTTTGCAATCGTATGGGGTGAGCTTTAGCATATCCTATTTTAAAAATCAAGTTCATATATCTTATTCTTGTTGTAATTGACCTTTCTTGCTTTCTAAAGGTGTGCAGCATCCAGTGGCGAAGATGACTTGTTTACCAACTGGAAAGAGCGTAGCAATGACTTGAAGGATTGCTTGGGATCGATTGTGCTCCCTATAGGTAGCCTGTCTGTTGGACTTTGCAGACACCGTGCACTGCTATTCAAAGTAGGTTTTGATACTGTTTTCTGAAATATATTGTTTGGTTGGATATCTATAATTTGATGAAGTTGCTAATTTTGGGGTCATATAGATACCTGTATTTTACCTATGAATTTGTATAGCCATGGAAAAGTTATCATCATCACATTGTTATTGGGTTTTTCCGTATCACATTCCTCCTTTAAAGATCCCAATTGTGTTGCTTCTAGAGGGAGATTATTTCTCTTCCCTCCACTTACCCTATTTTTGTGAGAGCATGTAAAATCTTATTCTCTAGGAAGCTAGTTTCCACTTTTGCTTTAGATGCCTGTAGAGTATTGGATTTCTAATTTGCATTTGGAATATGATTTCTGCAGGTTTTATCAGACATCATTGGCTTACCCTGTCGAATTGCCAAAGGATGTAATTATTGTACAAGAGATGATGCATCCTCGTGTCTTGTTCGATTTGGACTCGACAGGTATATCTTATGACTTATAGTATTGTCATCATTTGTGTTGAGATAAAAATTAAGAGCTACTTAACCTGATGGAAATAATTGTATTCGCAAGGTATCTTCTTTTAATTGCAACATTGAATCTGGCGAGATAGAGTACCATTTTAAGGGCTACATTCTAATTACGGGATTGACTAATTTAGCTAAGAGTTATATTTCAGTGTTTGTATATCCAATATGTTTATAGTTTATGAGGGGCTGACTGTGATGTCTAAACGAGCCATGCTTTCCTTTTTCTCAATTGTTTCGCTTCTCTGAGGCGTACGGGAACTACTTTTGAGTTCTAGGGTGTCAATTGGTTAGCCATGTTATGTAGCATTGCTATAATTTAATTCAAAATGTTCTAAATCTATTCCTATTAACATAGTGAAAGGTGTACAAAATGGGTTAGATGATATAATTATGATTCCATTGACATCACAGGGAGTATCTTGTTGATTTGGTGGAGAAGCCCGGAAGCTTATCTGATCCGGATGCGTTGTTAAATGGTCCTTCTTCCATCTCAATTTTTTCACCACTGCGCTTTCCACGTTTCAAACCTGTTGAACCTACTGTTGATTTTAAGTTGCTGGCCAGACAGTATTTCTCAGACTTGCGAATGCTTAATCTTGTGTTTGATGATTCTTCAGCAGGTAATCATCTCTATTATCCTTTGGTGTTCATTTCTTATCTAAGATAACTGGCTTTTGATTGGTAAAGTTCAGGAACCTCGCCTTTAGACAAACATTATAGCGAGATCTTTCTTTTTGGGGACCAATTTGTGTATAAGCTAATCATATTGTCTCAAAATTGTCCTAGTAATGGGTTTACATTTCATATCTGATGAATATTCAGGTTCTCTTTACGTTGCTTGGATTTTGGCCCAATTGCATCTGGCTTTTTTGCCTAAATTTTTTTATCTTTTCAAGCATGTCATCGCCAATTGGACAATTAAGGGAGAACGGCACAGATATATGTGTTGTATGCCAAAAGCTGAGTTTCTTTGAGTGGCACAGTACAAAATTCTTTGTTGTTTTTAATTACTACTATGAATGTGAATGTAATTTCAATGTGTTTTGCCTTGTTCAAAAGCTTCGGAATTCCATGTATTCTACTTGGTGGTGATGCTCTTACATATATGTATAATTCAGAGATGTAATACCATTCTGTATTTTTTTAACAATTTACATTGCACTTAATAGTGAAGACTGATGACCTTCCTACTAGTGTGGTTTGGTTGAATTATGAATCAGAAAATTTGCTCTTTGTGACAGCTGGAATTGTTATTGAAGGCGATACGAAGGGCTCCACATATCGTAAACAACCAGAATTTCTGTACATGGATAGAATGAGCCCTCAGGCTAGCTCAAGCAATCAAGATGGAATTTCTCAGTTATCACAATTTCCAACAAATTCCTGGATAAAGGTTCTTGATAAAGAACTATTGTTTTCCCAGCTGTCTAATCCTCAGGATGTAATTAAAGACTCAGACCCTCCAAAGGATATACCTCCGATTGTGCATAACGATGTTCAACCACTTATTGCAATGCCAGGACCTAGGAAAAACCCTAGCAGAGAAGTGAAATTTGTTGAACGAGGTACAGTATTTCCATCTAAATCAAGTGGAGAACTTGCATTTGATTTCGAGGGTCTGGTCATTCCACGAAGTGATCTTGTTTTGAAGGGGACAATTGGATCAGGTACTTTTTTTTGGCTTCTTCAGAAGCAATGCTATGTGCAGGTTCCATATTACGATATCATCTTTTGGAGATAGGAGAATTTTTAAATTGTTCAACTTGTGGATCTCATAAGGTGGCTTGTTTGTCTTCGCAGGTTCCTTTGGGACAGTTCATCTTGCTGAGTGGAATGGCTGTGTAAGATATCTATAATTTTATTTTCAAACAAAGTGTAGTTTGTTGTTTTGTGCCCCTTCATTCACCATCCTGATTATGTTCGGTTTCAATTCATTATTGTTGCAATTTGGTAAAAGTAACTTATTGTGTGAAAATATTCAGTTTCCTTCCATTACATGATCTGCCTTTAATTTCAACAGTTTTAATCTTACAAAAGCTGGTATTTTTCAGGAAGTTGCTGTGAAGATTCTCATGGAACAAGACTTTCATGGGGAGCGATTCAAGGAATTTTTACAGGAGGTACATGTTAGCTTCCTCTCATTCTTCTCCTTTGATTTTGATTGCACGTTGGATTGATTAATTAGCTCCATTTTTTTGTTTAGGTTGCGATTATGAAACGATTGCGCCATCCAAATATTGTGCTTTTAATGGGTGCTGTTACAGAGCCACCAAACTTGTCCATAGTCACTGAATATTTATCGAAGTATTCTTATATTTTTGTCACTAACTTCCCAGACATTAATTATTATATATGAAACTGCCTTGTACAGTTTTTTTTGCTGACTGGTGCTATGGTTTTACTCTTTTCATTCTCAGAGGTAGTTTATATGTACTTATGCGTGATCCCACTGCAAGAGAAGCGTTGAATGAGAGGCGCCGGTTGTGCATGGCTTATGATGTGGTATGCATTCACATCCTCTAATTCATTGGTTTGGTGCTGTAACATCCTCTCTCTCTCTCTCTCTCACACACACGCACGTGCACACACATGAGCGCGCGCACGAAAACGTACACCGATCTTTTGTGCTTGACATATTATATTATTTGTACAGGCAAAGGGGATGAACTATCTTCATAAATGCAATCCTCCCATTGTTCATCGAGACTTGAAATCTCCTAATCTTTTAGTTGACAAAAAATATACAGTGAAGGTAAGATGATGATTATATGTTTATCTTATATTATGCTTGATGACTTAGATAACTATTTTGTGAAGCATTTGGTATGGTGATTTGGGAGCTATAATAGCTTTTTGTGAAAGTTCTACAATGTTGAACATATCTGCAATATTTTATTTTTATGAAGCATACAAGTTTTCAGTGGTGCTAATGAATTGGAAATCTGGGTTCTCTATGGTATGATAAAGTTCAATTCATATGGCACCATGAAGTGCATCTCATGTACAAAAAAAGTCTTCACTGCGAGGAATATATATTTTTTTTCCCTCCAAAATTGACAAAAAATTAATGTGGCGGATTGTATAATTATCCACCACAATAGTATGCTAAGACATTCTGTTTTCAGAGCATAATTAATCATTATCTTCCTTTCTAGAGCAATCTTATTCCTTGGAAAATCTCCGGAATCTCCCATTAACTGTATCTCCTTCTCTGATTGTCACTCCAATCTTCTAATGAAGCTAGTAGATATCAAACATTCATACTTGTCTATTCAAGGCATTCTACTTCTAGCTTGTTCTTTTCCATGTCAAGTTTTTTGAATGTCATTGAAGTATTTGTTTTATATTTTTCTAATTATCAATGTACATGTACATATCATTACCTTCCCCAATGTATTCCACCAGGTCTGTGATTTTGGTCTTTCCCGTTTAAAAGCGAACACTTTTCTTTCATCAAAGACAGCTGCTGGAACTGTAAGTTCATTTGCTTTAAGATTCAAAAATCTGATGCCTTAATTTGCAGCTGATCTTGACGAATATCTTTCTTCTGTTTTGATAGCCTGAGTGGATGGCACCTGAAGTTCTTCGTGATGAGCCGTCAAATGAAAAATCAGATGTATACAGTTTTGGAGTGATTTTGTGGGAGCTGGCAACATTGCAGCAACCATGGAGTAATTTGAATTCACCACAGGTTTGTAAATTGGGAACCATATTCTTTGATAAAATTGTAAACAATGGAAAATAAGCCGCATATCTTTGTTGCTGTGGCTGGCCAAATATGTATATCAAGTTGGGTTTACGTGGGAAGGGTATTCTAGTATGAGAACTTGTAAAATTCTAAACGTAAATCGGCAATTATTATTGTATTTCAAAGATTTAAATTTAATAAATTGTTACAGCAGCATCCTGCTGCCACACCTTATTGGATTAACAAATGTAAAAATCAAATGCATAAGAGTTTAAGTAGTTCCGGCTTAACTTACTCCAATTTATCTTTATGAAAATATTTAATTTATTAGGTAAGTATAAGATGTAAAATAATGATATCATGAAAGTGGGTAAAAACAAATTCACGTTTTATGATGGATCGACTTTTAAATGGATCATAATTTTCTGAGAAATTACTAAGAAGTTGGATGAAAATTAAGACATTGAATAGAAGGCCAGATACTCAACCTAATGCAAGTCGTGTGTTAGCCTTGAACACAGTCTGTATATTGTTGTTGTTAATTGCTGTCTTGGCCTCTTTGGACACACTTTTTGCTTCTTCAAATGTGCAACCTTCATCGCTGGTTGCTTTACCCAGTTATTGACTTGATAAGAGTCGTGCTTTGATTTTTGGTTTTGGTTACAATAAAATGAGTGCATGGGTGCTGTGCCTTTGGCCATTACAGGTGACACACGTGGTGCTGAAGATTTCCGCCCTCCTCTGCAAATAATTAAAAATGGAAAAAGAACAGTGCTGAATTTGCTAAAATCATGGTGCCAGGACTGTATATAGATAAAGCTCCGTGTTAATATAGTAGATGTGATATTTTTCACTATAGTCCTCTTATGTACTTTTCAAGTAACGTTTATTTGCACATTTTGCTTCTTATCTTTATCATCAATGTACTGCTTTTATAAATGTATGCACCATTGTAGAATTTTCTGTTAATCTTCTTATGTTTAGCATGCATAATACTATTTTGAATGAACTGTAGTGAAGTTTCAATTTTGCAATTGTAACAAATCATCCTTCATAATCTTCAGTTCTTCTAACCCTTTCTGCACTTCACCATCGAGTCATTGCAATTTTCTAGTCTATGGTCCTGTTGTCGTTTGTTATTTCTTTCAGTAATTTGCTTGAATTTATTTAGATGATGAGTCTTACTTGTAACTCTTCTTATTATAGGTTGTAGCGGCTGTTGGTTTTAAGGGTAAACGGCTTGAAATTCCTCATGATGTGAATCCTCAAGTAGCAGCCATAATTGAAGCCTGTTGGGCAAAGTGAGTGGCAGTTACTGGTTTCATCTGCTTTTGTGGTTTTTGGGAAAGCCTAAGTTTGTTTTAGTGAGTATGCTGTTGGATTTGTTTCTATAGAACCTTGGCAATGAATGAAAATTTGAGCTGAGTTTTAATCCTACCAAATTGAGCTTAAAATTGTCATGTTATTTCCATCTTGGACTTACTTTAAAGTGGTTTACCATTCTATCATTTCAGCTTACACCCCCTTTTCAATTCTCCTCTCCCTTCATAGATTTATTTACTCACCTGCTAGTACATAAGCACTGGTATTTTGCTGACACCAGTTTCCCTTCAAACTCGTCTGAACCTCTAACCTGTAATATTTTTAATTGGTTCGTTAAAATATTATTTAACTCGGATTAACTTAAATCACAGCATCAGATACAGTTCTTACTAGACAGTTGAAATTGGAGTTTTCTAACATTGACTATCGTAGAGTTGTGCATAATTTTCTCTTTACTCACTTTGACCAATAATACTGCAGTGAGCCATGGAAACGTCCCTCCTTTGCTAGCATCATGGAATCCCTGAAACCTTTGATTAAATTGCCCCCTACAACTCAACCAGGTCGTGCAGAAATGCCTATGCTTCTGTGATAGAGTAGGCAACAAGGAAGCGTATATTGCCACAGACATGGTATGTTTCTCAATCCAATCTCTGGCAGGATGACAACTCAGATTGTATAAGGTTTGCCCAACTGGAATCTCGTGAATGACTTGTACTGATTTTTTGCCAAGTCTTCTTTTTTACTTCTATCCAGACTAAGAGTAGAGATTCGGGGTAGAAACCAACCCTGATCTGTTGTCTGCTTTTCTGCAACAATTTTACTTCCCAATCTGAAGTATGTCCCTCCTACTCTGATGGGGGTGTTAAGGGGTGTTTGAAAAGCATTTTTATGTAAAAATACATTTTAGAATAGTAAATTGATATGAAATGTATGGTTGAGAAATAAGGAAGATTTTTTGATTTATGTGTGATATTATTTTAATAAAGAATGTATGGTTGAAAAGAAGAGAGAGAAAAATGCATTTTGAAAAAAAATGACTACCAAACGAGAGCTTAATATATGGTAGTCTGTCTAGTTTGCTGGATATGGGAACTACTATCACAGTACGGCATGGTAACCAAAGTTTGTAAGCAATGTAGGATCTCCAGTCGTAAATATTCTTCTCCCAGTTCTAACCTGAAAACAATAATGATGGAAATTTTCTGTTTTATAAGTAGCGTTGATGGTTCGTCTGAAAGTTGAGTGGCTAACCACAAGAAAGATGGATGCATAACGTAGTCATTATACGGTTGCCTTATAAAAAGATGAAGTATAGACTGGCAAAAGGGAACAATGTACCTCTAGGCGTGATAGATTGAGCTGTTGCTCTAGAAATTTGTAGTGTGTACTAACTAAAAATCTGCATCTGATACTTTTGCAGGCTTGTTGAACGTTTGGGAATACTAAGTTTATGCAACTCAAGAAGATGTGAATATTCTTACGCCGTGAGAATCTATATTTAGTAAAAATTAGAATGCAGAAATATGCGTGTCAACTTGGCTACATGATTTTGTATTTATGCGCGGTGAATTGAAAACTTGTTTATAGTTATCCGCCTTGCGCATCATCGAAGTCTGTTTCCCGTGTGATCCAAACCTGATTGATTTTTAACATCATGATCAAGAAAGTTTTAGGATGGGACTTGCGCTCTTGGTCAATTCTAATGTTTGAGCCCCTTTTTTTTGTCCAAAATGTATTTTGGAATAGTATTTTGATGGAGAATGTGTGATAAAAAAATCAGGAAAATTTTTGAATTTGCATGTAATATTATTTTATTGAAGAATGTATGGTCGAAAATAAGAGAGAAAAATGTATTTTGGAAATAATGAGGCCAAACAATAGTTAAAATACTGGTATATATTTAGCCAAACAGTTGCATAGCCTTACCGTTTTGATTTGACTGCGGGGCTTTAGATGGCATGGCAAGGAGTAAAATTAAACTTTTGCAAACGTAGGTGTTATATGTGATTTTCTCTGTTCAAATATGTTTTAAATGGACATTTTAAAATATTGGTTCACAGTCCAGAACAAACATTTATGGTTCAAACGTTATAATATTGCTTTTGAATTTTTTCAGTATATAGTGAAAAATAGTGTGTTTAGTATCGACTCAAAATTGTCCCATCTCATACCGTGCCTAACCAATCTCAGTTTGTATTTGTTACAATTAATATTTCCCTTTACCAATCTGCTATTAAATTTTTGAGGGGAAAAAAAAAAAAATTAGTACGAAACCTGGGACGTATATGACTACTTGCAATCATCAAGTGGCTGCGAATTGAGATTGATGATACCAAAAATTGTACCTGGCGAATCCCGAGGATGATGATTGGAGATGACACGAACAAAGCCTTCCAAATACTTGAAACAAAGACAACGAGGTGTGTGCTCATCGTCCCTCCAATACTTAAGTCAGAAAAGGGATTGAAAGATGAATATATGCTGGATATTGTGTGTGTAGAACGTACTTGAATAATGGACCTGGGTCCTGTATTTATAGTGGTAGGTAGTGCACTCCTAGTAGGATTGAATAAGTTGGACGTTCTCATAGAGTTTTGCCTGAGAGAAGTATACTATTTGTAATATAATTGCATGACCAATGATATTATTGTTGACATAGAGTTCTTGTGGACGTAGGAGTCCTAAGTAGAGATGTTTGAATCACATTGAAATCCTCAGAAGGTAAGACTTGATACATAGGCTCGGGTGAATTGGCTGGAGGATAGTGCTCGAGTACTTAACCTCGAGGACTTATGAGCCTAGGAGATAGAGTAGAGTCTTCGAGATAAACACCCCGATGACCATGAAACCCCGAGGACTATACCTCAATTGAATTATAAGATTAAAAGTGTCCTCGAGATAAGAGTCGTCGAGACATGTCAGTCCTCGAGTATACAACTTGGCAATATCACTGGCCCCCGTGCACTCCTCTGTAGAGCTCGCGCTCGATGGAGGGGTGCGCTTGGATGTACGCCACGTGTCGCATCTTGAACGGCTCAAGATAGCGATCTTTGGCCTTCCGTATTCCCTCCCTATAAATACCCTCATTTACCTTTCACTTTTTACTTTTACTCACCGTGAAAACCTCTCTACAAGCTCGTGCTCGAGGAAAGTCATCCTAATCTAGGCGTCGGGAATTATTCAAGTAAGGCTTCGAGACTTTAGTTATTTTCCTAGTACTATTTAAGTTATGTCGAGTAGTGAGGGTAGTGGTCATTCTGAGAGCTCGGGGGGTAATGAGGGTTCAGGAAGGGTGTTAATACCATTAGCTATTCCTATCGACGCCCGACCTAGGTCCCCAGGTGATGTTGTCTTGGAGTACCCTGATGAGGTCTGTACCTTGAAGGAGCACCTTGTAATAGCTGCGGCTAGAGAACATGGGTTAATGCCTAACTGTGACATTAGATGTCCAGACCCCGAGGATAGGACGGTAAGGGCTCGACAAGGGGAGTTCGTTATTTTTAGGGAGACTCTGAAGGCTGGGTTCAGGTGGCCATTGCATCCTTTCTTTACTTCATTACTAGTCGAGCATTCCATGTGTCCTGGGCAATTAGTGCCCAATGCTTGGAGAATGGTAGTCTACTTCTTCATTGCTTGTAGGTATTTAGGCATCGTCCCCTGTGTCGACCTTTGCAAGTTGGTCTTCGAGCTCAAGAAACACCCTAGATATACATGCTTTAGGTACCTCTCGGCCATAGGAGGGTTCAGGGTCCCGAGGATGTCTAGTTCTTTGAAGGGGTGGAGGTTGGGTTGGTTCTATGTTATAGCTTGAGACCTTGACTTTCCTTTCTGGCCTGAGTGGGGAATCCCTGACGCCGAGAAGTTTTGTGAGGGTGAAGTATATCCACATCATTTGGAGCAAGATATGAGGATGCTGGTGAAGCTGTGCCCTTTGTTCTCGAGCATGAAAGAGATCGAGGAAGAGGTGATAGATCTGGCAGATGTTAGAGGCGTCGAGGGTAGGGTTTACCTCTATCATCCATGTTCTTTTGGAATATCTCGAGTTTATGCTCGTTCTAATGTGTTGTTCTTTTTTTACAGGAATGTCTTTTGATCCTCGAGCATTGCGTAACTTCGTCAATTCTAGGGCCAATGCCCAGCCTCAGGGCCAGCCCCTGGCGAGGAAGAAAAGCAAGAAGAGGCCTCGAGGACCCCAATCTAATCACATGGTGAGGGGTCCTGGTAAAAGATCACGACCTCAACCAGAGCCACCGAGCCCAAGGTTCCAGCAAAGCCAGAGGTCTCCAACTTGTAGGGTCACTCCTCGAGCTCCCTCTGAAGTCGTCGATCTCGAGGACGACATTACTTCTATGGTGGCTTTGATTATTGAGGAATTTGAAAGATGTCACTTGGTCCCGAGCCTGGTCACAAAATACCGAGAAGATGTTGAGCTTGATGAGGGCGTCAAGGCCCTCGAGCTCTTTACAACGAAGGTTATCCTCGATACTTTTACTTTTCATTCTTTTGTTTGCTGTGCATGATGCTCGAGGTTTATTGCTTGCAGGTTTTGAGTGTTGCTCGAGGAGTCACCCAACGAGGTCTTGGGGAGTCCAAGAGAATTGCTGATATCACAGAGTCCTCGAGAAGTAAAGACATGAGGATTGTTGAGGTCGAGGCTGAGCACGAGGCTTGGCTGAAGGAGCGCGAGGATATCCTTAAGGAAAACAAGAATTTGAGGAACGAGGTTGGGGCTGCGAAGGACGAGGCCGAGGAGGCTAAGCTCGAACTAGTGCGAAAGACCAAGGAGTTCGAGGACAAGATGGCGAAGGTTAAGGAGCGAGCTTGGGAAGAGTTTAAGACATCTGAGGACTGCGACAGGATCAAGGGCGAGTACGCCTCGGGTGCCTACCTCCATGCTTTTAAGGAGGCTCGAGCTTTTCTTCGAGCAAGGTTGCCCGACGTTATCCCTAAGGACCTGAAGACAGTACCCTCCATTGCTGATACTCTCGAGCTCTCAGAGTTTGATGATGGGGGGGCGAATGAGGAAGACGATGGCATGGAGGGGGGAGAGGCTGAGGATGCAGATGATGAGATCGACATTACAAACCTCGATCCCCCATTGGGGCATATAGGCTAGGCAGATCCCTCCCCGATCCTCGTGCTCTGTATTTCTTTTTGAAATACTTTTTTGAAATGTAATCAAGTGTTTTTCTCGAGGTTAATAGTAAATGATAGCTCAATCTTGATCACAATTCTCGAACATTTGTTTTAAGACTTAGTAAATAATGATTCATTACTAATCTCGACGCCTAAATGAAGTTTTAACCTCGACGCCTAAGATATTATATCTGACGACAAAGTTTCACTTATGTCATGCTCGACCAATAGGATTATCTCGAGGACTCAATTTCACAAAATCATTTTTGAAATTATGCACTGAGCTCGAGCATAGTACATGTTTATCTCGAGGACTCAATTTCACAAAATTATTTTTGAATTAGGCATTAAGCTCGAGCATAGTAAATCTCGAGGACTTAATTTCGTAAAATTTTCTAAGGTAGTAACTCGATCAAGTCATTCTTTAATAGGGGGATTATCTCGAGGACTAATGACAATGTATGGTACCGACCTATAGCGTGATTCCCGAGGACAATGATAGCCTTTTTATAAGATCTGACATATCATTGATCGGGCACTGTGTACTCGGGAAGGTTACCTGTATCGTTTGCCCTGGTAACAGTTTCTATGTGTTTGCTCGTGGTATGATTTTTTGCTTGCACGGGGCAAGGCTTTTTTAGTTGCTTGCGCAGGCAAGGCTTTTTGATTGCTTGCGCGGGGCAAGGCTTTAGTTGCTTTGCGCGGGGCAAGACTTTTTGATTGCTTGCACGGGGCAAGACTTGAGTCGCTTGCGCGGGGCAAGACTTTTTGATTGCTTGCACGGGGCAAGAATTGAGTCGCTTGTGCGGGGCAAGGCTTTTTGATTGCCTCTTGCACGGGACAAGGCTTTTTGTAGCTAGATCATATTTTGATAAATAGCTTTATCATACTTTAAAAATAGACTTGGCACGAAGGCTTGACAACTAAAAACGTGAACCTTGGCACGCAGGCCTGACTACCGAAAAATAAGACTTAGCACGCAGGCCTGAAAACTGAAAACGTGAATCTTGACACGCAGGTCTAACTCCCAAAAAATGGAAGAACAGGTTATTTGTAATATACTTTTAGATTCTCGGTGTTCCATGGTCTTGGAAATGGTCTTCCTGATGCATCTCTTAAACTGTATGCATCTCCTTGGAGCTGTCGAATGACTTCGAAGGGCCCTTCCCAAACTGGTCCTAGCTTGCCCGGGGCATGACCCGCTGCTTCGGCCCTTCTTAACACAAGGTCTCCGGCTCTGAATCTCCGTATCTTTACTTTCTTATTGAAGTACTTTGCTGTTTTATGTTGGTAAGAGACCACTCTTAAAGCTGCCTAATCCCAAACTTCTTCCAAGAGGTCGAGGTGTTCAGTGGTGTCTCCTGCGTCTTCAGGCTCAAGCCTTCTTTGGCTGGGCAACCTAACTTCAATAGGGATGGTGGCCTCAATACCGAAAGCCAATATGAAGGGGGTTTCCCCCGTAGTGATTCTGTGGGACGTTCTATATGTCCAAAGTATGGAAGGTAACTCATCAAACCAGGAACCTCTTGCATCTCCGATCCTTGGACAGAGGTCTTGCAATATAATCCGATTGGTTACTTCGGCAAGACCATTACTTTGAGGATGGAAAACTGATGTCAAACGGTGATCGACCCCCAAGTTGGAGTAGAAGTTTTTAAATTGTGCATTGTCAAACTGCCTGCCATTATCAGTTATGATGACTTTTGGTATCCCGAACCTGCATATGATGGACTTCCAAATGAGACTTCTCAACGTAGGCTCTGAAATTGTTGCCAAAGGCTCGACCTCCACCCACTTAGTGAAATACTCTACAGCCACCGCCACAAACTTCAGTTGCCCCCTAGCTATTGGAAAGGGACCGAGGATGTCAATTCCCCATTGCTTAAACGGGGTCGTGCAACTAATGCTAGTGAGGTCTTCTGCGGGAGAATGGATGATATTGCCGAATCTCTGGCACTTGTCACACTTCTTGACATATTCCTGGGCGTCTTTCTTCGTGGTAGGCCAATAATATCCATACCTTATGAACTTGAAGGCTAATGCTCGAGCTCCTTGATGGTTCCTGCACATCCCTTCATGAACTTCTTTTAGGGTTTGGGATGATTCGGAAGGCTTAAGGCTTCTGAGATATGGAAGTGTGAGGCTTCTGCGAAAGAGAACTCCCTCAATAATGCAATACCTTGGGGCTTTGGACCGGATGCCTCTTGCTGCTCGAGGATCTTCTGGAAGATTGCCATGTTTTATGAAGTCCACTATTGGATCCATCCATGATGGCTCATCATCAATATCCATGAAGCCTATGGTCTGATTGATGCTTGGCTCGATTACAATTCTAACGTGGACTCTCCTGTCAAGTCCATCTATTCCCATGAACACCAATCTTGACAAAGCATCGGCCTCACAATTCTCAGCCCTAGTAATCTTCACAATTTCACACCCCTTGAACTTTCTCTGGAGATCATGCACTTTCAAGCAGTATAAGCTCATCTTCTCATCCTTCCTATCGAATGTCCCTTCAATTTGTCCAACCGCCAACTGAGAATCACTGTAAATTTTGATATTTTCAAGCTCGAGATTGATGGGGAGTTCCATGGCTATGATGACGGCCTCATACTCTGCTTCATTATTGGTCGCTTCAAATTCGAACCTGAGTGCACATTGAATGTTTATGAGCATGTCCGGGTTTATGATTATGACCCCTGCACCTGAGCCCGAGGAGTTTGATGCTCTATCTACGAAAATTTGCCACATGCCTGTGGTCGAGCTCGAGCTACCATCTGGCCCTCGAGGCCTTAGGGTGAGTTCTGCAATGAAGTAAGCTAAGGCTTGAGTTTTGATAGAAGGACGGGGCTTGAATTCTATGTCAAATTCTCCAAGTTCAATTGCCCACCTCAGTAGTCTTCCTAAGACGTCTGGTTTCTGAAGAATGTATTTTAGAGGCTGATTGGTGAGCACTATAATAGGATGTGACTGAAAATATTGACGAAGTTTTCGTGCTGCTACTATCAGTGCAAGGGCAAGTTGTTTTGCCAAAGTGTATCTCGTTTTTTGCATCAAGTAGGACTTTGCTTACGTAATAAATGGGTTGCTGGCCCCTGTTAACCTCTTTCACCAAGACACCACTCACTGCATTCTGAGATACGGCTAAGTACAAATATAGAGTATCTCCGGGCTTGGGTTTGGTGAGGATAGGAGGAGATTCCAATGTTTGCTTGAGCTCCTAAAAAGCCTTCTCGCACTTCTCATTCCATTCAAAGCACTGATTACCCCTGAGGGCTTTGAAGAAGGGGAAGCACCTGTTTGCTGCTCGGGACATGAACCTATTTAAGGCAGCTACCCTGCCTGTCAACTTTTGAACCTCTTTCTTGGTCCTTGGTGATTCCATTGCTGCCAGAGCCTGAATCTTGTCGGGGTTGGCCTCAATCCCCCGATGAGTGATCATGAAACCCAAAAACTTTCCTGAAGCTACGCCGAATACACACTTCTTTGGGTTGAGCTTCATCTTATATTTTCGTAGGGTGGCGAACACATCCTCAAGGTCGGATATGTGTTCCTCTACCTTCTTACTCTTTACAACCATGTCATCCATATAGGCCTCAATGTTCTTCCCTATCAAATCGGTGAAGGCTTTGTTGATGAACCTCTGATATGTTGCCCCAGCATTTTTCAACCCAAATGGCATCACCCTATAGCAATATATGGCTGAATCAGCCATGAATGAAGTCTTCTCTTGGTCTTCTTTGGCCATGAGGATTTGATGATACCCTGAGAATGCATCTAAGAAGTTGTACAACTTATGTCCGGATGTGCTATCCACAAGATTATCAATCCTAGGTAGCGGGTAGCTGTCCTTTGGGCATGCCTTATTCAGATCTGTGAAGTCAATGCAGACCCTCCATTTTTCACTGGCCTTTTTCACCAAAACAACATTAGTGAGCCAATCGGGGTATTAGACTTCTCTTATGAACCCCGCTCTTACCAATTTATCGACCTCTTCTTGAATGACCACCTGTCTTTCCGTCGCAAACTGCCTCTTCCTTTGCTTAACAGGTTTGGCCCCTGGGCTGATAATGAGTCTATAGACGGCGACTTCTGGGTCTATCCCAGGCATATCCTCCACCTTCCATGCAAAAACATCGATGTTGCGGGTTAGACAATAGAGGATTTTCTCCCGGAGGTTGGCCTGGAGATCCCTACCAATAGTGATGGCTTTCCCGTGCTCGATCTCGACCACCTCTAATTCTTCAATGGGGGCCAATCTGCCCCTTGGCTCGAGCTCGAGGTCTGAAAGTTGCATGACGTCTGTACTCATTCCTCAGATGCTAGTAACATAGCACTGTCTGGCAGCCATTTGGTTTCCTCTAACTACTCCGATGCCATGACTTGTGGGGAACTTCATGGCAAGGTGGAAGGTTGATACAATAGCCTGGATTTTGTTTAGTAGGGGTCTTCCCAGAATGATGTTGTAGGCCATTGGGGTGTTAACCACTTGGAATGGCGTGATCTCTGTCACTTGTGTATTACCAGATCCTAATGTGCGGGAGCTCGACGATGCCTTCAGGGATAATGACTTCACCACCAAATCCCTGTAGAGGGGTCTTTACTGCTTTGAGTTGTTTTGGAGAGATTCCCATTTTGGCGAAAGCCACCTGCGAGAGTATATTTGCTGCACTCCCATTATCAACCAGAATCCTCTTTACTTCAAAGTTAGCCACAACCGCAGAGACGACCAAGGCATCGTCATGAGGATATGATATTCCTTCCAAATCTCTTGCACCAAAAGTGATGTCTTTAACTTCATCACTGGATTCTCTTGGGGTATGAGCATGTTGGCGGGCATACTGCTTTCATCCACTACTTGTGTCTCCGCCGGATGCTATGCCCCCAACGATAATATTAATGGTTCCGACAGTGGGTTGAGCACTGCTTACGGCTCCAGGCTCTTTCCTATTGTCACGTTCATTCCTTGGCCGTTTATCATGACCAATGTAATTTTTTTAAAATCCTCTTTTAATGAGAGCGTTGATTTCTCGCTGCAAAGCTTGACAATCTTCCGTGGTATGCCCATGATCCCGATGAAATTCGCAATATTTGCTGCTATCTCATGTGTCAGGGCGGGGACTTTATCCTCCAAGGCCTCTTTAATTCTTTCATATCCTTAATCGCCATCAAGATATTGGTTTTAGAGGTGTTCAACCGAGTTAAAGATGCTGAGGGCGCCTCATTTCTTCGCTTTCTCGAGGATGCTCATGTTGGGGAACGGGATCATGTTGCCTCTTGTTTTCGACCTTTTCATGAGGAGGACCCGCTCTCCTTGGATTTAACGTCTCCTTCATATTGATGTACTTTTCAGCTTGGTTAAGGAGCTCAGTTATTGTCTGTGGTGGGGTCTTTGATAAAGATATTTTGAAGACCTCACACCTTATGGCATAGGTGAGGGCAAAAATTGCTGCTGTAATGTGGAGGTCGGGTATTTGAAGTCTTTCCTTGTTAAATCTTGTCATAAAACCTCGTAGGGTTTCATTTGGCCCCTAGCGTAGTTGCATGAGGGAGGCTGCGATTCTCCTGATTCGTTTTCTACTCGCAAAGAAGGCTGAGAACTTATCAGCGAAATCTGAGAATGAGGCTATAGAGTTGGGCTCCAATGTCGAGAACCAATCCCTAGCAGCATTAGTCAGTGTTTGTGGAAAGGCTTTGCACATAACCTGATCCGGCGCAACTTGTAAGTTCATGACGTCAGTATAACATTGAGGTGGTTGATGGGGTCGGACGTCCCATCATACTCCTTAATGCGGGGATATTTGAATCTGTCGGGCAAGGGATATGACAATATCTCTGGCGTGAATGGAGTGTTAGGGGTGAAACCTGTTGGCCCTCGAGCATTCCGTTGCAGACTAGCTGTAATTCTTTCTTGAATGATTCGAGCAATTTCACTGGAATCCATGGCAACTGACCTCGAGCCTGAGGCCATATATTGCGAATTTCTTTGACTTAACAGTTGTGTGAGCGTGGCCACCTGCTGACAGAGCTCTTCAAAGGCTTCGGTTGTGATGACCGCTGGCAGAGGTGCGGGCACTCCTGAGTTTCTTCATGAGGAGCCGGTTGATTTTCGGCAGGATGAGGGATGTGAGCGGATGAGCTTGTGGGAGGAAGACCTGATTGTGTGTTAACCATGGCTTTTGGTAGCGATTCCCACAGATGGCGCCAATGATGCTACCAAAACTTGTACCTGGCGAATCTCAAGGATGATGACTGGAGATGACACAAACAAAGCCTTCCAAATACCTGAAACAAAGGCAACGAGGTGTGTGCTCGTCAACCCTTCGATGCTTAAGTCAAAAAAGGGATTGAAAGATGAATATATGCTGGATATTGTGTGTGTAGAACGCACCTGAAAAATGGACCTGAGTCCTGTATTTATAGTGGTAGGTAGTGCACTCCTATTAGGATTGAATAAGTTGGATGTTCTTATAGAGTCCTGCCTGAGAGAAGTATACTATTTGTAATATAATTGTATGAGCAATGATACTATTGTTGACATAGAGTTCTTGTGGACGTAGGAGTCCTAGGTGGAAATGTTTGAATCACATTGAAATTCTCAGAAGGTAAGACTTGATACATAGGCTCGGGTGAATTGGCTGGAGGATAGTGCTCAAGTACTTAACCTCGAGGACTTATGAACCTAGGAGATAGAGTAGAGTCCTCGGGATAAACACCCCGATGACCATGAAACCCCGAGGACTATACCTCAATTAAATAATAAGATTAAAAGTGTCCTCGAGATAAGAGTTGTCGAGACATGTCAGTCCTCGAGTATACAACTTGGCAATAGCAGATATAATTCACATTTCCAGGACAAATTTCTCACCACCTCGCTGATCTTGAAAAATATCGGTTCATAACTTTCTTAACTAATCTATTTTTCCTGAATTTTACTATTAACCATCGTTATGAAAAGAGTGTCTAGGAAGTTTGCTTTGTTGTTGTTGACACATAAAAATTCAGCCCAAATCGAACAGCCCAGAGAATAAAGTCCAATTGGAGGGTCCCCAAATCAGATAGCCCAAAGAACGAAATCCAATTGAACGAATCAAGGTGAATGCCCAAATAAGGGGCCCAATAGTGCGGTAACGCCATCGCCCAAGTTTGCAAGTCGCTCAGAGTCTGAACGAATAGAGTGGCATACGGTCGTCCAAAGTCTCGCCCAAATCTTCAAGTCGCCCAAGGTATCAACAAACATAACGCATTATGATGCAGTTATTGAGGCAGTTGCTAAAGTAATTTCATCACGTTCCACGACTCAAAGGGTTCAATCGAAAGCGGTTGAACGATGCAAGATAATGGCAGCAGTTAAAAGACAGTTGCATGACAAGGAAAAGGTGAAAAAATTGAAACAAACCAACTCGGCCCCTACCAAATCTGAAGTGGTAAGTTTACCCTTTGATCTAGAATTAATTACAGGTCTTACCTTAATTGCATGAATAGGGCCAAGGAAAGCCTCCACTCATTCTATGAGGATGGACTGTTCGATGAGATGGTAGCTCTCCATTCGATTGTTACATCACGTGGGATGGTGTAATCATCCCATCGAAGTTCTTCTACATCAAAGTGAAAATATTCGTATAAAATAAAATTCAATAATGCTGTTGTGTAATTCAGTTGGAGTTACTTGTCGGACTCTTTTGTCTTCTTTAGCCCAACAAGGTGTCACCTAATTATCTGCAAAACAATGTTAAGTCCTACTCCCTCATTGTACCTCTGGCATGAAAGTGTACAGAGAGAAGGGATAAATCAAGACTAGGAAAAAAAATTATGTATGTAATTTTAGTAAAAAGGCGTTACGTTATACCTTACATCTTTCGAGGTATTTATTGACAATCAATTTCCTTCTATGTGCATATGAATATTTTCATTAATATGCCGACGGATATTTCCACGTGCTAGGCGATTTTAGTGAGTGGAGTGTAAATGTCATTCTGAGTCGTGTCAACAATCGTCCACTCGTGATAGACAAATATTGGAAATGTGGTTGATTGACCATGCACCATCGTGATCGATTAACCTCCCTCGTGGAGAAGGCGAGTTGACGGCCTTTTGTCTTTATCTTTGCCGGTTCATACTCGATGACCAATTTATCTTTTTCACATGTAATATCAATCCATTTTTCTTTTTAAGTTTAATAATTTTAAAAATATAATTTTGAATGGTATTTTTTGGAGAATGTGTGATTAAAAAGTAAGGAAAAAGGGATTATGTGTAAAATATTCTATTGAGCAAATTTGTGATCGAAAATGAGTATAATGAATAAATTAAAATAAAATAAAGAGAATCAAAGGGCTAAAACTGATGGAATTGCGCCGGTACTCTCCACTTGTAACCTCAAAATTGTTAAATATGCTTTAAATCGAAAGAATTCTCAATTTTAAAATGTTGTTACAACAAATAAGGCACGTGGTTAAGAATTTGGAAATTTAAAAAAAATTCGAATAACAATTTTGCTCATATATTCTTATGTTGTTGGTCAACAATGCCCTTAAAAATTAATTAATGCATTAATTTTATTACTCAAATAATACATTAAGATATTATTTAAACAATTTGTAATAGTATTATATATTTTCACTTTACTATATTCTGTAAAAAAAAATCTGAAAAAAAAGGTCAATCATATTACCTTAAACATTTCATCTAATGATCATACTAAATAATTACACGACTTTCATGTTAAAAAATAAATTATATAATATATTCCCACAGCTATCAAATTTTAAAATAATATTATATCATACTCTTTAATCAAAAAATATGTTCACTAAAATTTCCTTCAATTTATTTTAGTACATATAAAATATAATATTATAGCATGTCATAATTGATAAATAGTTTTCTATAATTCATAGCAATCATATTATAGTTTAAGAACATTAATTCGTATGTAATGTTACACTACTATGGGTTATAGATACAACTATTGGTCAACTTTGTAGTTAATGTCATGTAAATTAAAAGCATATCCCAATAATAACAATCTATAGAATGCATTTGAGTTAGGGCAAGTGATTTACTATTCTTAAATCTTTTCACTTAATTCATGTTTTTCTATTGTTTAAATATTTATAATTTGTCAACTCATTTTTTTATTTAAATATTTTCTGAAATTTAGTCCCTGTTTGTGGAGGCTAAAATCAGATTTCTAGTAAATAGCGATAAAAGTCGTTAAAATGTATGATTGAAAAGTTTAGCTCCATAAATGTGTCGTTAAAATTAATTGTGGATTTTGACTTTTAATTTGTACCAAACAAGGGCTTAATAGTGTTATCCACTATTTACATCTATTTATAATTTAAATTATTTATAAAAAAAAAATAATGCTATATAGTACCAATATGTTAGAGTATCAGTCTCTGCGAATTTATGTGATAAATTGAATTAAAAGTGAAATTATGCGATTTATTTAATTGTACTATTTATTTAATTATGTTTAGAGGGTGTTTGGTAGGAATTTTTATGTGAAAATGAATTTTTGAATAGTAAATTGATGGGAAATGTGTGGTTGAAAAATAAGGAAATTTTTTTGATTTACGTGTAATATTATTTTAATAAAGAATGTGTGGTTGAAAAGAAAAGAGAGAAAAATGCATTTTGATAAAAATGGGTGCCAAACAGGGCCTTAGTGCTATCTAAAATTCTAAATTATTACACTAGCAAAAATGTCCAAACTCCCATAGATTCACCAAACATTGCTAGGCGGGCGGAAAATATAAGAGGGGCAAAATAGTGAAAGCATAAAAGTCGCCATAAATGACGGATTACTTGGAGTAGGGGTCGAGTTTTAGCGATAATATCTACGGTCCATTTTCCTCCCTACTTCTGTATAAAATCTGCAACTCCCGATCTTACCTTTCCTTCGTACTTGTATTTCTTACATCTTACCTAACATTTTCTTTTCTCTGTAATTCTTCGATTTTCTTCGTTTTGAACCCAGAGTAATCATGTCTTGCTACAAGGGAAAGTACGCTGGTAAGTTTTTTTTGCACCATTGCCTTGGCTTTTTCTGTTCTTAGTATTTATCACATCGAAAGTGAAACGCCGATTTTTATTTGATTTTTAAAGCTGTTTTGGTGTTTGTTTTTTGTTCTATCTGTTTGTTATTTATCAGATCTGGAAATCGTCCTGAGATGCAATTTGTTATTTTTCGTAAAATGAAGTTCTATCTCTGATCTAGGATTTGATACAGTTCTTATATATAAAAGAAGTACGATTTTTAAGTGTTTAGTATAAGAATTATTTATGTAGTTGTATGTAGAGGTATATCTCTATTGGACGAATTGGCTATTTCTGAATTATCTGTTAAGTTGCTCATTTACTATTTTCATCTGTTCAGATCCTTGTTATGCGTGCTTATAGTAATACTCAAATCAATTTATGTGTCTTGGCTATAATATTTTTTATTGTAATCATTTTAGTGGTTGATCCACTGTTTAAATGGAATATGTTACAGGAATTAGAACTTTTTTGGATGAATTTATTATATACAGTTTATAGTTAGATCTATCTGTTGGTCTGGTTTGATCCATCATTTGTGGGACAACAAACGGCCTAATTATTGACTTGGGGGGACTAGATCCATGGTGACCTCTGTTAATCAATACTTTCATGTTAATTCCTTGAACTTGGTTCAAATTTTTTGATATTTACATGTAATAAAATGGTACAATTAGAATACTTGGCCTAAAAGAGCAAAAGCATTTTCAAGAGACTATTATTTATAAAGTACTTCATATGCATTATGAATAATGCTATCTAGTACCGGTGGTGTTAGAGCACCAGCCTATTTGGTATTATGTAATATGTTCAATTAAAGATGAAATTATATGATTCATTTAATTATAGTTTTAATTTATTGACACTTCGCGCCACTTAGATCGATGTTGTAAATAACATTACTCTATGCATTATCAAGAGTATCTTCAAATTTAGATAGTTAAAAATTTTATGTGCTTCAACGATGTTCTTTATTTTGCTTTTCTCGTGGAACATTTATTGATCTCTCTTTATATTTTAATTTGATATGATTTTTTCATATGTCAATGGCCAATCAATTTAAATGTGGTTTGAATAGTTTAAGAAGTAGAGTATTGAAGACTGTGACTTATTAAATGTAATCATTGTACATTAAGAATAGAAAGTGAATTTGACTCTTCTATTTTAATAAGTTAAAATAAAGAGTTTGTTGAAGCTTATTAGTAATCATTAGCTCTTTAATATCATTTTTTATTTATAGATTATCTTGGAGATGCTCTAAGAAGTCATAATACTATGATCTCTGGGTCTGCTACTAGCAAATCAATATGCTGTTTATATTGAAATTTTTTTTGTGGTTATTTTTGCTTTAGCTCTCTAGTTCATGTGTTCTACTGGTGTTGTATACAAAAAACGTAGATACTGCAATACTTATCAATTTTTTTTTCCTCTTTCTGCAGACGAACTTATTGCCAATGCTGCATACATTGGTAGCCCTGGAAAGGGTATACTTGCCGCTGATGAGTCTACTGGCACAATTGGCAAGCGACTAGCTAGCATCAATGTTGAGAATGTTGAGACCAACCGAAGGGCTCTACGCGAGCTTCTCTTCACCGCTCCTGGTGTTCTTCAATACCTGAGTGGAGTTATCCTTTTTGAGGAAACTCTATACCAGAAGACTGCTGCAGGTCAAATTTGATTTATGTTTTTGCTTATTATGTTTTACAACACGTTGAGATTTTCACTCTTCCAACTTGAAATATGAATAATTATTAGATTACATACTGTAAATAAAACTTGCAGGTAAACCTTTTGTCGATGTCTTGAAAGAGGGTGGTGTCCTCCCCGGAATTAAGGTCGATAAGGGTACTGTTGAGCTTGCGGGAACCAATGGTGAGACCACCACTCAAGGTCTCGATGGCCTTGCCCAACGTTGCCAGCAGTATTATAAAGCAGGTGCTAGATTTGCTAAATGGAGAGCTGTGCTCAATATTGGTGCCAATGAACCATCACAGCTCGCTATCAATGAAAATGCCAATGGTTTAGCACGTTATGCAATCATATGCCAAGAAAATGGTCTTGTCCCCATAGTTGAGCCTGAGATCCTTGTTGATGGTTCTCATGACATTAACAAGTGCGCTGATGTGACCGAGCGTGTTCTTGCTGTTGTCTACAAGGCACTCAATGACCACCACGTCCTCCTTGAGGGAACTTTGTTGAAACCAAACATGGTGACTCCGGGGTCCAGTTCACCCAAGGTTGCACCAGAAGTGATTGCTGAGCACACTGTCCGTGCCTTGCAACGTACAATGCCTCCTGCAGTTCCTGCCGTGGTGTTTTTGTCTGGTGGACAGAGTGAGGAGGAGGCCACGCTGAACCTTAATGCCATGAACAAACTGAAGACCAAGAAGCCATGGACCCTCTCCTTCTCATTTGGACGTGCTCTCCAGCAGAGCACACTCAAGGCTTGGGCGGGGAAGGATGAAAACATCAAGAAGGCGCAGGATGCTTTGCTTACAAGGTGCAAGGCCAACTCGGAAGCAACCCTGGGAACTTACCAGGGTGGTGGTGCATTGAGCGAGGGTGCCTCCGAAAGCCTTCACGTCGATAACTACAAGTACTAGTGGACTCTTTGCTTCCTTGGATTTTCTACTTAATTGTTGAGAAAGTGATAGGCGAATAGCCTTCAGCCGGGTTCTCAATTTTCTTATTACACTATCTATATTTTCTAGCCTCGTTTTAATAAGCTTTAGAAACACCAAAATGTTGAGATTTGATGGCATTGTACCAATGACAGGTCTCTTTGCATTTGCTGCTGTTGGCTGTTTTTAGGCAGCTTGCTGTTTTTGTTTATTGGGCCTCTTTGGCTTTATTGGACTTTATTCTTCCTTTGTTCGGCCTGTTTCTTTGAGTATCTCTTCTGTACTTGATTATTTTTGGGCTTTCCTGTTTGTTAATTATCTGTTGTAAGCTCAAATTCTCATATTATTTCCAGTCATGAAGAATACAAGTGAGTAAACAAGGAACATTTCAGATTATCCAACCGAAGGCAATTTATCAAAATGTCCCAAATTGGGATACTGAGGAAGTGTGTTCCATGAAATGTATGACACATTTCAGGTGTGTCAGTATATATAGATATCACCCTAAACAACTGTCTAAGCAAATTTTGATTCTCAAGAAAAATTTTGAGTTGCCCGTTTTGACTGCTTATGGCTGAATTGTGTCTTATTGTATGTATGGGGAAAATTTTCTATCTAGTGCTTCAAGTTAGTTATCAAATTTTCTTTCACTATAAATATGGAATCACTACCTCATAGTGAAGATTGTTCAAATTTATGTTAACTTGTCATGCGATCCTCGAGTGTGAACAAGATTTTGTCCTCAATTTCAACTGATGCTTAAAATTTTAAAATGAGATATTTTTACGAAGATATTTAATGATTTAACAACGATTTAGACAATTTGGTTAATGGTTACAAGCTGTAATCTAAGTTTAGATGTTGAAGATCAACTTGCCGGAGCAAGGGGACAATAGATTGAAGATGAATAATAGCAATTTTGCTTTACGTAGGGACCACCAAGACCCCCAACCCCGTTAAGGTACCCACGCTCAGGTAGGAGAGTAACTTTTTTACCAGCTTTTGGGCAGTTTGTTGATAGGTTCGAGAATAATACCATGGCTGCAAGCAACCTCTCATGTAAAGTAAGCTTTCAGTTTGCTTACGTCATGAATCAGTTTGCATGTTTTCGTACTTATTTCTGCCATGCACTGCAACACTCATTAATCCAATCTGCATATATATTCTCATTAATCTCTGGTAAAATTAATGGTCCAAGCTTTCATCTGACATTTAAGGGTGTGTTTGCCAGTCAAGAAATTAAGCGTTTGTTTGGAGACAGCTTAAAAGTTGCTAAAAATTTGAGTCAAGGTCAATTAATTTAAACACAAATTTGATAGAATTCACAGTCTTATCAACCCTAAGAAAAAGGGAGAGAGATTGATTTATAATCCGTTGTCTTTCACTGTATCTTGATATTGTTGATTGTGTTGCCAATTATGGTGTCTTTTCAATCAACAAAAGAATTTGCAATTTTCCTATATTGTACACATTTTCATCTGCATTTCCAAAACATGGCCTGTCAAGTTTTTGGAATACTAACAATCTTCTGCAGTTGCGGTAGAAACTAAAGTCTCCTTGGAAATAATAATTGTTGAGATTGCGTGACAATCGCCACTCCTTGCTTTCTTTTATCCTCCACCTATGATCACATGATACATGAGGGCTATGAACAATGACTTGATGTCATTCTCACTTTCCTCCTACAGTTTATATAAGTTATAAATTCAATGATAGTAATTGAACGTGAGAGTTGTTCTTGTTCTGTGACTTAACCCAACACCTTACTGCAAGATATTTATTTAAATTACAACATGTTCTTTTATGTATATGCCAGATTCATTTTTTTCGTAAGAAACTTGACACGTGCACAATTTTCAAAATGTAAAATTCGAACTCAACATCTTTGTCCAATCTAATACCATATTAAAAGTTTAAACTTTTAGATGGAGTGTTTCAATACTGCATTCATGTAAGATCAAATTTTTCAAATTAGAATATGACAGTTAACCGAGTTGAATATGTATAGAAACAAATGAGTTATTATTCATACAATCGTACATGATAAATAATCAGTTGCCTGGCCACATTCTTAAGCAAAAACATGAAAGGAAGAAGACAATTTTTTATTTTTTTTAAAAAAATATTACCTTAAAATTATAAACTACATGCTGAACAATCAACAAATAAGCCAAATACAACAACAAAAAGAAGCAACAAAAAGCCACCATAGTTAAATTTCTCACTTCCCAAGTCACGAGTCAACACAATATGTCAGTTGCCTCCTCTTCCATCATCTGCTGCTTATAATCTCTTCCTAATTTGACCAGAAACAATTTAATTGCAGATTACATATCTTGATCTGATTTTCCTACCCTAATTTGTTGAGTTTCAGCCCAAAATTCTCCCACATGTTATGATCATCCCCCATAAAGTACCTAAAGCAGCTATCATTCATTGCATTTCCTGTGTTGCTATTAGAAGGTGAAACCTCAGGTCCTAATCCACTGGTATTATCAAAAAAGGCTCCTCCATGATTATTGCATATGGACATATTATTCTGACAGTAATAAGAATAGGGTTTTGGATTCTCCTTTCTTTTCTTGTTGCACTTGATTACATAATTATTGACACCATCCCACTTTTCTTTGCAGACTAAGGCACTCCTGTCATATCCAAAACAGGCCATTTTTGTTGCTATTCCTTCCCACAGGACTTCTTCTGAAAACCCACCTTGTTGAAACCTTGATTCTAAACTTATCCTCAATTGGATTAGCCTTGAAATCTCACATTCTGGCCAGATCATATCGCCCTTTTCATCGTCGTTCTGGTTTTCACTTAGGCTTCGAGTTTCAACTGCCATCAATTCGTCCGATAGTGAAGCCTTAAGTCCTTTACCGGCAACGTTTCGTATAGCTTCCATTAATGCAGCATGCCGTGCTTCGATATATGCTCTTTCACTAGTCCAGAACTTACGCTCCTTTTCTATTCTATCGGCATCTTGTTTTCTCCATTCATCCTCTCTTATAATCCTCTCTTGTTCTTTATCCTCAATTTTCCTCATCATTTTCTCCATCCAACTCTCCTGTTTATCCATTAATTTCCTCATATGTGAATCAATGAAGTCTTTTATCTTTCCTTTCCACCGCCTGTTTCCCCTTTTCTTCTGCCTATTACCACTCGAGTCATCGTTTCTTCTTCCATTAAAGTCTCCTCCATCTGATGAAGTAGTATCAAAATCAGAAGAATTCGATAGACTAAGGCTAGTATCTGAAAGCTTTGGAGCCTGATAAACTTCTTGCTGATTAGGTGTTAAAATGTTATTGGTCGAACTACTGTTTAGAAAAGTTCTTCCGGCAGGATGTGCTTCTGAGACTGGTACTGTATTGTTGATTCCACCATAGAGTGCTTCGAGTTGGCGAAAAAATCTATAGTGCTTGCCATCCTGTCTTCCAGCCTTGCCTTCTTTGGTCTTCCTGTAATACTTGTACAAGTTCTCAAACTTCTCTCTGCATTTCTTGCCACTCCTCTGATATCCATGTTCCTCAGCCATAATCCTGAAAATTATAACATATAATGGAGAAATTTAACTCTGCAATATCAAGAAATGAAGATGATAAGACAAAATTAAGAACCCTAGTTTTTTTAGTAATGAATTCATGCAGAGGATAGAGAAGCTCGTATAATTTTATCTATTCTGAGTGAACAGAAACAACGATAATTTGAATATGACAATTCAAAGTTTTGCAGAAAGTTGCCTGAGGAACTTGAAAGAGCCGTTTTTCAGGTCTTTTCAAGAAAACAAAGCTAGAAATTATTTCTAAATCGCCCAAAAATTTAGCAATTGTTTTAGACGAAGGGAAACAAAACACCTGCTTTAAGATTCATAGAAGTAATTGTGAGATGTCTCTTAATGAAAAAAACCAGAATGAAAGCAACTCCTGAATCTCAAACTGGACTTCAACTGTATTCTGTCATTTTTCTATAACAAAACTCGGATAGTAAGAATAAAGTTCAACGTCTTAGGCTTTTTATCATCCTGTTGTTTAGTTCAGTTTTTGGAGATTTTGTCGAGTGTACTCGTGGGGACAAAACGTATGGCGAGGAAGGATAGGAAGGATCCTTCTGAATTTCATTTATAACAAAATAGAAGATGTACAGAGAGCAGTCTAAACTGAAAACTCTGGGGACACTAAAGCTTTCAAAGGAGAAATCCACTGAACACCCCTACCCCTCGAAAGAAAGGACATTCAGAAAATAATAGAAGTAACTCCCACCCCGCGACGGAAAAAGAAGAAGTACAACCCCATATTCCAAAGTGTTTTAAGGGTTTGAGAATGTAAAATGACATTTAGAAGATGAAAATATTTGGTGAAATTGACAAGATTTCAGTTGTTAAGTTAAAACTGAAGGATATGTACCTTGAGACTTCATCCCATAGCGGACCCTTTTGGTTGCCCTCCTTGAACTTAGGATCCAGCCTCGATCTGATCTCAAGAAGAGCAAGTGTTTCTTGCCTAGGCCATCGCCCAGTGCCACCATCTCCGCAACCATTCAGCCCACCAGCCTCCGTCTCAAACCCGCCAAAACCACCGGCACTAATAGACGAACCACCACCACCACCACCAGTATTACTAGTCGTAGAATCAGACCTAAAAGCCGGCTGAAGCCCATGTGGTATCATGAACATGTCGTACTGCTGAAGCTGCGTCAACCCCGGATGGTGGTCGGATAACAGGTCAGTTCCCGGAGGAATTGGTGGAAAAAAAGACCTCCGGTTCACGTATTGCCTCAGATCTGCCATTCCAGTTTCATCATCCATGTCCATACACTCACTACTCCTTTGTATTCGAAGGGAGAGAGGCCAACGCGACAGACCCGGATCGTGTTCTAACGAAAAAGAGGTTTTTGAATTTATTTAGAGGACCTTGGACCCATGTCTCTGCTTCAACTGATGCAATATAAAGCTCTCTTTTCTCTGTCCTTTTCTTCGTATAGTATATATGTACAGAATATGGTAAATTGTATATGATACGATGGTAGATTGTATACAGTATATATGGTGTATTAGGGTTTTACAGTGGGAGTGGATTGTTCACCCAACTTTACAGTTTATACAATCGACACATTTCTTTTATTTAAATTTGAGTTTTCAACACATTTTGCAATTATTATATTATATTTTTTTCCATCAAAGTTAGCATCTCCAATGCATTTTTAAGAATTGCTATCTAAGTGACATGTCAGTTGAAAGATTTCTTGGCATTGATGTCTTCCATTGAATCCTATAAACAGATGAACAGTGCTATGTA